TAGTGCTTTCACATATCTGGAAAAGACAAAAAGACATAAAGGTATATATTATGTGAAACCTCATGACAAAAAAATAGTAAGCTGGAGGAAATTCATATTATTTTCATATGTAACAAACTCCCACGGACACAGCCTGCGTTATTGCAATTCCAGTAAACTAATCCTTTATCCCAACTCAAGAAAGCAAATTTAAATGTGCAGGAGAATTCTGTTATTATAAAGATAACCCTGAATCTACTCTACTACCACTTTTTTTCCTCAATAAATCTTTCACAGAGATTGGAATTCATGTTCCTGTTTGTATAATGAGTTTTCTACAGTGCAATCAGTTGGCTCTTTTTCCAAACAGATCATAATATAACTAGTTAACTGTTGGCCTTCTCTAGTGTCTCTTGTAGCTGAAGGAAGAAGGAAGAAGTTTTTCTTGGGGAGGAGGAGTGGGGGATGGGAAGATCAATGCTACTCACCCCTCTGCACACCCCAACCGCCCTGCTCTGTTGGTCTCTAGTGTTGATGGAGTGAAGGGTAGATTCAGAAAGTGACATTGCCGAAGTCCAGGTTGATAGACACCGAGCTGGAGAAAGAGTCACTGCCTCAGTGTCCCCGGCACCTCAGGCCACAGAGAAGCTGAGAAGTACAGGGACCAGCATGAAATCAGGAGGGTCCCCTGCTCCTGGAAAGACTTCCTAAGGGAAGAAGTAACAGCACTTTTCCTAAAGAAACACATGCCTATGAATCACAGCCTGGGATGGGACGAGGTGCCCAGGTCTAGCGGTCATTACCAGTGTAGCCTGTTAATGCTGATGGGACCAAATATGGGCTTCCCAGCTGGTGAGGAGGTCTGCTCCATTGGAAAGTGACAAGTGACTTGTGCCCTGACTCATAACTGTGCTTCACAACACTTTGTGTGGGGAGACAAGCCAGCATGTCCAGTGTGTCATCCATCAAAGGGAATGTAAAACGCCTCAACAGTGAAAGGTCCAGGTAGGCTTGCAAATGACTGAGTCAGCGTCACCGCCCCATGACAGCCCCCATTCCACTGGAACTGCGCTCCAGACGGCAGAGAATTCCTTTTGTACGGTTTCAACCGCGGTACTTGGAATAGCGCCTGCCTGGCATGTGGTAGGCACTTAACTCATCTGAGTTGACTGAAGGAACACATCCTGCACAGCACGGCATTTGGGTCTGGACAGCTGCTGCCTCCTCCTTCCTTCCCAACTCCTACTGCAAGGGCACCAGGGACTGCACCCCTGGCCATTGACAGACAGACCAGCAAAAACAAGGTCTCTTCCGTACACGCTTCTGAGCGCTGAGCCCTTTCCACTTACGAAGACAATGACACCAGGTAAATTACTTAACCTCTCTGATCCTCAGATTCTTCAGAAATGAAATAGGAATGATACCAGAAACTCAAGAGTGTTGAGAATATTAGACGAACTAACTAACGTAAGTGAAATGGGAAGTGCACAGCAGTGTCTCAATAAACAGAAGTAAAACTCCATTTCACCATTCAATAAGTGCACAGGTAATTCATTTGAATGGAATCAGGTTCTTCAAAGAAGACTGTAAGAAAATTTCAGAGCACCAAAGAGAACTGTATCTCCCAATTTTCCAAGAAACCATGAGGCAATGAATGGGACCCCACTGGGGCTTCCCTTACACAGAATCGCAAACATGTTTTGTGTCCACAGAAATGGACCAGAATGAAGTCCTGAGTATCGACCGTGAATTGGGAAAACTTGCCATGTAAACCCTGCTGGCCTGGAACTTAGCCCCAGTGACCATGACCAACTTACATCATGGCTGCTGGTTCAACCCCAGGAGGGCTGGGCCAAAGTGTCAAGAAACCAGAAGACACGGGACCCTCCTCAGGTTGCTCATAATACACCAACCAACAGCCAGCCGTCCCTCCAGCTCTGGCCTCTCCTCCATCAGCTTCAGTGTTCATCTAAACCAGCCCAAGTCCAGAGTACAGTCCAGATGTGAGTCCCCCAGAATTAGTCTTTTTATTAAAAAAAAAGATTTTGAACAATAAAAAATAAAGATATTTTAGAAATCTCAGAGAAGTGTTCCCTCTTCTCCCCCAAGGTGCCCCCTACCCCACTCTGCCCGCCCACCATGCCCAGAAGTCCCCCTCTTGTTTGACCCTCTTTCTCCAGGCCCTGTTAGCCAGCGCAGTCCCCTCCTTCTTCCCAGACTGTCACATTCTCCCGCTATTACAGGAATTCAATGAGCTCTTCCCCTCTGCTCCCTCCGTGCCAGATCAGTGAGCCCCAGGAGCTCAGGACTTCCCTAGAGTGGGTCTTTCAAAGTATTCCTCAAGAAATAATCCTCCAATAAATGTTTACAAAAGGGGATGAAAAATTAAATTATCTTTGCATTGCTATATTAGTTAGGGATACTAGGTATGTAGATTAAAAAGTGAACATTTAGACAGAATTTTTATGTGAATTTTCCCTCTGTCCTTTGTGTACAATGTTAAAACCTGTGGTCAGAACACTCCCATCTTAAATACACTCACACCCACACACACACACCCCACTACTACCACCACTCTCATCAGATGTTAAATGCAGCTAACCATCTATAACTGCTGTCTTTTCTTTATCTTCATTTGAAACTTACCCAAACTAAGGTCTTTCAGGATAAGTTCTTTGGCCAAATCATTTTGAAACCAAAAGCTCATGAGTCTCTAACGCAACTTTTTAGACCCTTACCCTCCTACCCTGTCCCCCACACTGGGAATACGAAGGCCATAAAGATATAAAACCTGAACACTGGTGGGCTTAGCTCTTTGTAGGTAGGATAAATCCATAACAGACACCCTTTGCTCGGCAGAGCCATCCCATTTTGAAAATTAGAACTGTCTACCACCAGGAAATCGGCACTTGGTTACCTGTCCCGCTCTCAGAAACTTCAAGGATAGTTCCCAATTATTCTGCTCACAAGAGCAGAATTGCTTCTTCCATGAAAATAAACCCAGGAATCTGGGGGAATAATGAAGCCCTATCCTGAAGGTGGGGCCGTATAGACCTGTGGTTGGAAAGCTACGTGAAGAGAAGGTGAGTGATTCTGCAGGAAGTCCCTGGGGACGCCAGGATTCGGAGGCAGACACGCTAGCTTCGTCGAGCAGGAAGCACGGTAGTGAGCAGAGGGTGACATACTGGCTCTAACCCCTGGAGTTTCCCTCCCTTCCTTCCGGCCACCAGCCTTGGCCTGTGTCCTGGGTCAGGTCCTGTCCTTTCATTTGGCACAAAATTATTGATAAACTCTTTGCTCTGGCCAAACAGTATCTATCACTTTCGTGCCTAGATAATGGATTGTAATGGACTGTAAAGTCCATCAATTTATTAATTAGGTCACTCTATCCTGGGGAATTGGTTACAAGACTAAATAAATAAATAAATAAATAAATAAA